CGTGTGCGTGTGCGTGTGCGTGTGCGTGTGCGTGCGTCTGCGTGTGCGTGTGCGTGCGTGCGTGCGTGCGTGTGTGTGTGTGTGTGTGTGTGTGTGTGTGTGTGTGTTTTGCGTGTGTGCGTGTGTGCGGTTGGCGTGCGTTTGTGTTGCGTTCTGTGCGTGCGTGTGGTGTCTTGTGCGTGTGCGTGCGTTGCGTGGGTGGTGTGTGTTGTGTGTGTCTGTGTTGTGTGTATAGTGTGTGTGTGTGTGTGTTGGTGTGTTGTGTGGTGTTGTGTGTGTGTGTGGTGTGCTGTTGTGTGTTGTGTGTGTGTGTGGTGTGTGTTTATTATTGTGTGTGTGTGTGTGCGTGTGTGTGGGGGGGGGGGGGGGGGGGGATGGGCAGCCGAAGCGAGGGGGATGAGTGGGGGTTGGGGCGAAGGGGGGGGGGGTGACGGGGCGGTCTGCACGAGGGTGGCTGTGGGATGGCTAAGGAGGGGGGGGGGGGGGGGGGTGGGGGGGCGAGGAAGGATGAGATAATGATGAGGTGGGGGAGGAGAGGCGAGGGGTCTGCAAGGGATGATCCTGATGGGCGGTGCATGCTGATGCTGATGTAGATGAGGATGAGCAGGCGGATGCGGAGGACATGGAGGAGGTCTTAGGTAGACCGCGGCAGGGTCAGGTAGGGCTATGTCACGGTAGGGTCATTGGCTGGGTCCGTACCGCCCCTTGCCGTGACCTACCGTGACCCTACCATGACATACTACCGTGACCCGCCGCGGCCCTACCCTAGTTGCCCCCTGCCCTATTCGCCCCGCCTATCGCGCCCCTACCGTGGCCGACCCCGGCCTTGCCATGAACCAGCCCTACCGTGACCCACGGCCCTACCCCTCCGCGGCCTAACCCTACCGTGACCTAACTCTACCGCGACCAAGCCGTGACCCTACCGCGACCAAGCCGTGACCCTACCGTGACCAAGCCCGACCGCGTCACGGGAGGGTCGCGGTAGGCCACGGGAGGGTCACGGTAGGTCCCAGGAGGTTCACGGTATTAGGTCGTTTCGCTTTCCCGAAAATGTGTGTGTTTGCAGAAGGGTGCGCGTCCTGTGTTTTTATTGTAGAGAGAGATTTTTTTTTGTGTTGTGCGAAGGTGTGCGCAAAGCGGAGCGCACTCTGGTAGGCATGCAGTGAAAGTATTGGATGTCCGACTCGGGGCGCAGCACCCTCAGCATGACTTCAACTGGGGGCGCACGGGGCTCGCACTGGGGCCAGGGGGGGGCGGGGGGGGGGACGCGTCAGAAACCACGGTGGGGGGGGGGGGGGGGGGGGGGGGGGGGGGGGGGGGAGGGAATGGGGGCGTTGCGTGATTTTAGGGCGTGGGCCACCAATGGCGCCATGGCAGCCATCGACGGGCCATGGGCGGCGTGATCCTTGTGCAGGTGCCCGTAGTTCCCTAGCTTGAACGAGGACCGCACCCCCTCTGCTTGGACATGTTCCAGAAATGCGCCCCCGAGGGACTGGCAGGCACGGGGGGGCGGGGCAGGGGGCGGGGGCGGGGAAGCCGCCATGAAGGCTGGCTCGAGGGGGGCGGCCCCTGTTCCCATGTGGGGAAGGGGGGGGGGGGGGGCGGAGGAGGCCCTTGGGACCTCGAGCCACAAAGGGCTGGCGGGCGGGCTGCGCTGCGAACACCCTTGCCGTCAACTCTCTTCCTCCTCATGCCTCCTCCTCCTCCTCCCCTCCTCCTCCTCCTCCTCCTTCCTCCTTCTCTCCTCCTCTCCTCCCCCTCCTTTCCTCCTCCTCCTCTATCGCCCTCCTCCCCCTCCTCTTCCTCTTCCTCCTCCTACTCTTCCTCATCCACCTCCTCTTCCTCACCATCATCATCATCATCACCACCATCAACATCATCATCAGCAGCATCAGCAGCATCCTTCTCATCACCCTTCCGTTGTCCTCGTCGTCACCATCACCATCGTCATCATCATCCCCATCAACACCATCATCATCACCATCGCCATCGTTATCGTCCTCATCATCGTCATCATCGTCGCCATCATCATCGCCATCATCATCAGCATCAGCATCAGCATCATCAGCATCATGGTCGCCACGACTGTACGCGACTCGGAACACTCAAAGGAGCTTGCCACGGCTGGGCGCGGCTCGGAAAACTCTGGAATTTGCCGCGGTTGGGCGCGGCACGAAACGCGTTGTCGTTCAAGCCGTGTCTTTTTTCTCGGGGAAGTCGCCACGGCGAGGGCACCTCCTGAGGAATCAGCCGTATGAATATGAACGGCTGGCATATGAAAGACAGCGCCAAACGCGCTGCTGAGATGGGAAAGGCTGCGACGCGATCGGAAGTCGCCACGGCGAGGAGACCTCCTAAATAATCAGCCTGAGGAATATGAACGACTGGCATATGAACGGCAGCGCCAAACGCGCTGCGGAGATATGAAAGGCTGCGACGCGATCAAGCCTGCAGCTGAGAGCTAAACTGATAGTTATAATCATACGCACTGAAATCCAGCGCAAGGATCTGAACAACTGAAAATCCAGCACAAATAATGATACGCACTGAAATCCAGCGCAATGATACGCACTGAAATCCAGCGCAAATAATGATACGCACTGAAATCCAGCGCAATGATATGTATAATGATCGAAACTGATATGAACTGAAATCCAACGCGCTGAGACAGATGAACGGCTGCCTGCATGAATATGAACGGCAGCGCTGCAGAGATGAACACCATCATTGGATGTACTCCCACTGCCAAACCTCCTTGTACACACCACCACGATAGACGACGTCTAAGCAGTTCCAGCGCGCGTGCCGCCAAACGCCGTTGTCGTTCCACCACTGCGTGTATGACGCTGGCCAGAACTTCGTGAAAAGGCGCGTCTGCTCGTCATACACCGACTTGAATGAAGGCGTGCCCGCATCATCATGCTTGGCCGCTTTCGGGACTGGCGCCGAGGCTGCACCCGCTCCGTCGGCAGCTGGACGCTTCATGCCCATGATGCTGCGGCCCCGACAGCTCGGGAGATCGGGAGTTGGGGAGCCGTTTGCTCAACATGGGTTGAGCCAAAATGGGTACGGTGGCAGTATGTGACGAACGAACAACACGCACCCATACCCATAGGGGGGTCGTTGGGAGGAGGACTGGCTATGGGCATGGGTGCGGGTTGTCGGACCCTGAGGAAGGGGTCGTGGGAGGAGGGGTGGTCGTTGGGAGGAGGGGTGGCTATGGCGCATCGGTCGCGGATCGGTCGCGAACGGTCCCCGAGCGCCCCCATCTGGCAACACGCACCCACGGTGGCTTCACCACCGTTGTCATCAACGTCATCAGTTTCATCGTCGTTAGCCTCATGAGCCTCATCATCATCGTCGCGCTGCTCATGACGTGCATCATCAACTACACCATCACCGACGTCATTATAATTCTCGTCGTCGTGTTTGTCATCGCCGTCGCTGTCGTCCTCGCGCTCGTCACTGTGGTCGTTACACTATTCGTCGCGACCGATCGGATCTGACGATTGGCGCTCGGGTGTGACGATTGGCGCTCGGGAACCGTCCGCGACCGATCCGCGACCGATGCGCGACCGATGCGCGACCGATCGGCGACCGATCGGCGACCGATGCTCCGCGACCGCTTCGTTCCTGGAATTTCGGGCAAATTCGGTCGCGACCGGTAACGTCGGTCGTTACCGGAAAAATCCGGTAATCAATGATCTGGGGCCCGGACGCCCGGACGCCCGGGCACCCAGACACACGGACACCCGGACACGCGCCCGGGCACGCACCTGGGCACCCGGGCACGCGCCCGGGCACGGTAAAATAGTCATATACCCCCCAGATTGCCTTGTCAAGGGAAGTGCGTTCGAGATTCGGGCAGACGTCTTGTGTTCAGGAGTCTCATTGAGTTTCACGGGGTAAGTTCGGAGTGAACCAGGCATTGCAGTTATTGAAGGGTTCGTTGCGCACTGGGACGGGAGAGGGTTCGAGGGGAGGGGGTTCGCAGAAACGATTGTGTTTACAGGGCGTATTGTTCTTGGATGGGCGGTGGGTTTTGGGCGGCAGCGGCGAGATCATAATTTCATCGTGGGGAGGAGGTGCAATTTGAAAAGCAAAGGTTGTGCATGCGCAGCGATGTGGCCAGAAGTGCCGCGTTTCGGACACTGTGTTTCGAGTGTTGTTGGCGGTGCTTCAGTTGATTTGCTCGGACGTTGCTTCAATTCGGCGTGTAATGTTTGCGGTCGCTGCGCTCTCGGGGCAGAAATGCCGATCGCGTTTGCTGCTCAGCAAGGGGTCGGTCGGAGCAGCGGCTCTCATAAGTTTCCTTGCTTACAGTAAACGCGCACCCGAAGTGGAGTAGCATTATCAAAGGTACCCTTGCATCCTCGCCTGCGCGGCGTATGCTCAGACGCCCAAGGGGTTCGCAGCATTACCATTCATTCTCAGTGCGCGCGTTCATTGTAATCATGTGATGGGTTGTTGTTTGGCGTGCTTGCCGTTGCCGTCACGATCAACGGCTCCGGTCCTAAAACTGAAAAACCGCGGTGGCCGAGAAATTCTGTTGGCACGGGAGGAGTTTTTGAAATGAGGGCGGGCCTTTGTTATTCAGGTGTTCGCATTGCACTTGTGTGTAGCTCCGTCGAGTATCGCAACAGGGAGGTTTCAAGGGGGAGGCGGGCTGAAGAAACGATTGTGTTTACATGGCCCGTCGTCCCTCATGGGCGTTCGGCTTCCGGCGGCGGCAAGAAAATCAAAGTTGCGTCAACAGTTTCCAGCTCCCCGCTGTGTCGGGAGGTTTCTTCCACGAATTTCCCACTTGAGCGTCCAGAGTGCTTTCGCTCGGCGGAGAAAATGTTGTCGCTTGCCCGAGCGAAGTTTTTCGTTCGCCCGAGAAAAATGCCCGCGTTCGCTCGAGAACAATGTCCTCGCTTGTCATTTCGAATTGTCTCGTTTGGCAGAACGAATGTCTTCGCTCACCCGCCGCAATTTTCTCGCCCGCCCGAAAGTATCATCTTGCCTGTCGACCATTTGTAAGGGAGTTGGGGGAGGAACCAATCGGTCATTACCGCGCACGCGTCGGGGTACTTGTTGCTATTCGCGTCGTTTCCTCATTCCATCCAGTATCGGCGCCCGCTTGTGGAGGATGCTCCAGATGAGCGACTGGCAGGGTCGCGCACGTACTTGGCGATATTGGAGGAGGCGCGCCGTTGGCTGGAAGTCTCCATGCATTATCTGTTTGTTTGCTGCCTGCCGACCTTTCGCCTGCAGGACCACCCTCACCCTCTCCGTACGTAGCCGCTTAGGCGTGGCCCTGGCCACAAGCGTTGACATCCCGCCCAGCGCCGCCCTGTTGCACAGGCTCTGCCGGAGCTGTGCGCAGCCCCGCTCCTTTTCGTCGGCACACGTGTGGCCCCGATGTGGCAGCCATGGGCGGGCAGCGCGGCAGTATTGGCGGCCGCGGCCTTGATGTCCAGCCCACTGCTCGGACTTGCAGCGGGTGGTGGCGGTGACCCCATCTTCGAGCTGAAGACCAAGAAGTTGGACAACGCCCAGTTTTGGATCATCTTGGCGGGGATGGTTTTCTACGGGCTGCTCATCGATCGCGTTCAGTACTTTACACAGCGGGCCGTCGAGAATTCGCGATGCAGCAAAATGATATTCGAGAGGACTGTCACGGAGTTCATGGTATTCGGCATCGTTGCCATTACTATCTTCGTAGGAACAAATCTGGATCCGCACCTCGACGAGAAGTATCCATACTGCACCACGCACCTCACTTACGCTGACGTTCTGGTATCGTTCGCTGCCTGCTCTCTGATCGTGCTGGGCGCACTCTACTCGTGGATGCGGCACCGCACAGAGGAGCATCTGCAAGGATTTCAGGGGGACGAGCATAAGGACACTGTGATCCCGAGGATGGGAAGCTGGAGACCGATGAACCTCAAGCAGCAGAGCGTATTCTTGGAGCGGAAGAACTTGACGACATTCTCGTTCAATTGGAACTTGTATTTCCAGGAGTCCCTCGCTCACCAAATCTGCGATCTCATCAACATTACTTGGGTTACATGGCTCGTCACGTTCATCGTCTTGCTCCCAATGGTAGTCTACAAGGGTTTTCTTGTTACAGACGCAGCCAAGACGGCAGCTTACATCAATGGATTTCTCTTCACGACCTGGTTTTTTCTGTTGCTCACTTTGGCTACTGTGATTCAGATTAGGCTTCTCCGTGGCAAGCTGTACGCGGCAGTGGACGGGTACCTCAAAGAGACCCTCGCAGATGAAGTGGACGAGGACAGCGAGGACGAGGACAACGATACCGATGATTTGGAGGTTGTTGACAAGAGCATGGAATGGTGGAGCGACTTCTTGGCGTGGCTCATGCAGTTCGAGTCTCTGTGCACATGTTTCATATTGGGCATGTACGTCATGCACCTCTCGTACAACCTGAAAGTTTCTGGACACGATCTGAGCTATCCCGTGATGTGGTACCACCTTGGCTTCCTGCTCCCGCTCCTCTTCTCCCTGGTGGTCTTGTTCCCCCTGGGCCTGGTGGAGCTCACGTCGATCCAGGCCTTCTCCGCGCCCGACCAGGAGGTGCTCCACACGATCGTCTCCGAGACCCGGCAGGCTCACACGGACCTCGTCTTCATCCAGAGCAAGATTATGAGTTTGGGATCTTCCAAGACGGAGGCGGCCCAGGAGAAGGCTTGAATCGGGCCTGTCCCTCTACAGAAGGAATCTTCAGAAATAGTCAAAAGATAGTCTGGGGACGAGTTGTTTTACTATTTTAGGGTATGTTTTGACTATGCTTTCGTTTTTCTCCCACCGCCTGTAGGGGGACATGCCCGACTTAAGAGAAGGCGAGGACGATTTTGATCAACGCGAACGGCGGCGACGATACTGTGAAGAGGATGGACGTGATGGACCTCTTGGTCTCGATCGACGTCCACTTGACGAAAGAGCGCAGCTTGGCCGTCTTCGACCTGGTGGACCAGGAACACGAGGCCACCGGCGTCACGCGCAACAACACCGTGGCACTGAAGGTGAAGAATTGCCTCGAGGACGCGATTGACCGCCAGGTCCCCATCGACGACTTATTGGACAGCGCTGCCAGAGCCACGATGGACGGCAACCTGGGCAAGGCAGCGTGAGCCCCAAGGCCCCGCCCACCTCGATAACATCTTCGGCTCATCCTCAGTAAAATGAAGGTGTGCGGCTTGCTGTGCGACCTTGTTGGGCCACCACAGTTTGCGGCCAAATGGCTGGAGCCAAATAGCGAAGGAGGAGGAGGAGGAAAAGTAGGAGGGGAGGTCCACCTTGCACCAGGAGTGTGTCGGTCGGCCCTCCTTTTCTCCTCGCGCAGTTTACTCATTTACCATCAATCGTGGTGCAAGTATTATTCGCGGGAGCCACTCCATGTGCGCTCGGCCGATGCCGTACCAGATTGGCCAGCCCAGAGCTTTTCAGCAGAGGAGGTTTGCCCATTCGTGGCGCCGCGTCTTCCTTGCGAGCACGACTCGCGCACCCAACCCATCGTGCTCGTGTAGTGTGTTTGCCCTCCTGGCGTCCGGCCAGAAGGAGGAGAAGATCGAACGAGGAGAAGGAAAAATACGAACGGGAGGAGGTGGAAGGAGGAAGTGGCCAGAGGAGGTGGGAGGAGGAAGCGGAGGCGGAGGAGAGAAGCCGAAGGAGGTGGAAAACGTTTTTTTCGTTCCGCCTTTCGCCCAGCATAGTCCAACAAACCCCCATGAGGCCTCCCAACGGCCCACGAGGACCTCAACATAACTAGTCAAGCACAGCCTCCAAGAGACTCCCAAAAGACCCTCGCCACGTTCCGCAACACTCACGCCAGAACGTGTTTTTCGTAACACTCTGTGCCAGCGCAGCCCAACACAGCCCCAATGAGGCCTCCCAACGGCCCACGAGGATTTAAGATCATTAAGCACAGCCTCCCAGCGACTCCCCGATAGACCCTCGCCAGGTTCTGGAACACTCCTGCCGGAACCTGTTTCTCCGTCACTCCTTCTGCCCAGGGCATCCGAAAATATCCCCGTGAGGCCTCCCAACGGCCTACGAGAACTCAAGGATAGCCAAGCACAGCCTCCACAGGCCTTCACCCACGCTTCAAAACACTCCCGCCCGAACATGCTTCTCCGTCCCCTCCTGCCGCCTTCCCAAGGGAGTCCACCAGAGTTCCCCCTTCCTTGTTCCCCTGGCCCCCGACCTTCCAACCCGCCTCGGACTTCATCGGACGCGCCCCGATTCCCTACGGGCCCCACTCGTACTTCTGATCTCCGAGCCACATCAGCATTCTTCTCCTGTGTTCCCCCTTCCTTAGGCTCTGGAGGGAAGGTCGGTTGCCTCCCACTCCCCCATCCTCCTGCACTGTTTTGTACTCCGCGGAAGAGTTTGTCAGTGCCGGACTCCCCAAACAACATCAAACACGCTTCAGGAGGCCTAGCCGCGTTGTGCCGCCGAACACCCTCACCCTCCTGATCAGGCAGTTCAAAGCCCCTTCCTCTCCTTCTTGTCGTGTTTGTCCTCGCCCCCGCCCCTCCTGCCTCCTGCTCTATCCGTGTGCCTCCTCCTCCTCCTCCTCCTCCTCCTCCTCCTCCTCCTGCTCGATCGGTAGCTTTGTACATCCTGCCCGCCTCTCCTTGCCGCCGCCGCTGTCCTGGCTCGACCTGGTACCGCGCCTGTGCCCGTTTGACATTCGTGTTATACCTTCCGTCCAGTTCACTGCTTACTGAAACCGTCTGTTGTTTCATCCATTGTTTTCATTCTCTAGTTGGTAGCAGAGCTCTGGCTACCTTCCAAACATTAGCGCCATTGCCCGCGTTCCGCGCTCGTTTCGCCAGGTCTCGACGACAAGGGCATCCCCCAACCCATAGTTTTTGACACCATGCATCCAGCGGTCCAGCCATCCCCACGCAGGCGCCAGCCTGCGAGCCCCGCGGGCTGCGTGGTCGCACCCCGAGCCTTCTCCATGGAGCTCGCCCGGGCCACGCGGTCACCCGGAGCAGCGCCGCGCCAGCCAGGGGGGCTTTGAGCTCTAGGTCAAGCGCGACGCGTCCGCCGCGGGCGACTTGATGCATGCGCCCATGCCCTCCAGACACGTCGCCGATCGCAGGATCCTTGGGCGCGCCGGCCACATCGAGAGCGCCTTCGGCAAGATGAGGGGCGACAACGGCGACTTCTCTAACTGCGGGGCGCGCTAGCACCGCAGCGCCGACGGCGCAGTGGCGTTCGACAAGGACGAGAACACCGACGCCCAAATTCCGATCAGGCACGCCGACCTGGTCAAGGCAACGGCCGGCGCGCTGGCTGGAGGTCAATTGCCAGACCTTTTTGGCTCCCTCCCAGGAGCAGCCGCTTACTTTCTGCTCGCTCAGCACCACATCGACGCGCGCATTGTCGCGCTGCAGAGGGCCAGGAACACGCTGCCCATGCGCTGCGCGACGCAGCTCGACTCAGTTGTCCTGGCCATGCAGAAGATTGAGTCCCGCATTGCTATTCTAGGCATGGAACGCACCGGCCAGCTCTGCGCGCGCGGCGACGGGCCCTTCAAGAGGGAGAAGGAAGAGACAGGATACGGCATGAGAGGAGCAGTCAACATGCGCTTGGGCGAGTGCCGCAACGCACGGCACCAGCAATGGCACGGGAGGGCACAGACGCTCGCATCTCGCGCACTATGTTCGCGAATGCGACGTAGTGAAGCGTGCAAGTGAAATTTGTTTGGACGGGCTATGTTTGCGGAGCAGCAGGCGGAGGGACAGTTGAACACGCACGTGTGCGAAGCTTGCTCCACGTAGCTGTATAGCGCCAGCAGTTTGTATAATGTTTCGTTGATTGGCACATGGCTTGCGCGTGCTGGCTAGCGAGGCACGACAGACTTGCTTGAGCACCAGACTCGAATGATAGTTTTGTACATCCTGCCCGTTTCTCTTTGCCGTCACAACGGTCCCAGCTCAAGCCGGTACCGCGCCCGTGCCCGTTTGACACTCGTTTTATTCTTTCCGTCGGATTCAGGCGCCCCCATTCCAAGGGCACACGGAAGGGCCTGCAGTTGTTCCCCCCGCGCTGGCCCACAGAGACTCGCATTCACAAGGTAGTGAGCCTCTGTTTCGGGGCCACCTCGGAGCTCACCCCTTGAAGCTTCGGGGTATGCCCCTTGCCGGCCCTAGTGAGAATTCAGGGCCGTTGCACAACCAAATCGCAGGGGATGTTGCCAGAGGCGCGCAAGGCACCAGTCTAGGTGTCTTGACGTTGACCCCCTTGTGCGGATGTCCTGTCCTGTCTTGTCCTCGTCCTCTTCCGCCTCCTGTTCCTCCTCGTCCTCCCGCCGTTCTGGCTCCTGATCCTGCCCCCCCGACCCTCTTCCTTCCCGTTCTCGCCCCCTGGGTGCCCCCTAAGGGTGCCCAAAGTACCCAGGAGGCCCCGAAGCCGCCGCGAGACATATCCAGGTCGTTGCCATTTTCGGCCTTGCCTTCGCCGCCGACGTCCCACTCGGATGCGGCGTCGCTATATCCCAGTCTGGGGCTTCGGGGACCCAGACCCGACAGCGCATGGCGGGGTCGGGGACTCGAGGTGCCCGAGAGGCGACTATGGGTTTTCGGAACGTTTCGTGAACGGTGGAAAATCACTTCCAGATGCCCGCGGTTGTCTCCAAGCGGCCCCCCCCCTTTCCCGAGCCGCTCCACGAAGGGTTCCAGACGGGCCCAAGGGCACCTCAAACGCTACAAAAGGTTCCCAGACGATCCCCAACAACGCCACAAAAAAGGCACAAATCATTGGTTACCTTCAGGCTTTTCCGTAACCATTATGTGGTGTTGGTCCTCACTTTCAAACGACAGCGCCCCGTGTCATTCATTCCTTCTCTCTTCCTCCCACTCCTCCCTCTTCCCCTTCCTTGTCTCTGCCTTCAGCATGTTTCTGTTTTGGCACACCCCTCTCACGCTCCGTGGCCCCATCAAGAGCGCCACGCGTGGCGCTGACTGAGGCTTCCATTTCCCAATTTTCCAATTCCGCTTCCAGTGGCCTTCGTAGCGCGCCTGCCTACCTTGCAGGGACGCCGGGCCTCCCAGCGAGGCCGGATCGTTTGTTCGTTCGTTTACCACCGAAGACCCAAATTCTAGCGTTCGCATGCGCCCACCGCCCCCATTTTGGCACACCCCTGACACGTTTCATGGACGCATAGAGAGTTCCACCGACGGCCCGAGTGGCTGCGTTCGCATGCACCCACCGCACCCGTTTTTGCACACCTCTCACACGTTTCGTGGCCCCATAGGGGAGTGCCACCGACGGCTTTTTGGCTGTGTTCGCACGCGCCCACCGCACCCTTTTTGGCACACACACACACACACACACACCTCACACGCTTCGTGACCCGATGGGGAGTGCCACCGACGGCCTTTTGGCTGTGTTCGCACGCGCCCACCGCACCCCTTTTGGCACACACCCCTCACACGCTTCGTGGCCCCATGGGGAGTGCCACCGACGGCCCTCTGGCTGTGTTCGCATGCGCCCATCGCGCCCGTTTTGGCACACACACACACACACACTTCACACGCTTCGTGGCCCCATATGAGCGACGGAAAAAAGCGGGGTCGTTTGCGCAGACATTGTCGCGTAAGCTGCTCGCGTAAGGTCGCGCGTGAGCGCCCCCGTCTCCAAAGTAGCGTGCCGCGATGGCGGCCCGCGTAAGGTACCGCGTAACGTCGCAACGTCATCTCGCGCAAGACCCGTTTCCGATCGTCGCTCAGATGGGAGCTACACCGCACCCATTTTTTGGCACACTCCTCGCACTCTTCGTGGCCCCATGGGGCGCTCCACCGACGGCCCCAGTGGCTGCGCTCGCATGCGCCCACCGCGCCCATTGCGCCACGCTCCTGACAGGCTTATTGGCCTCATAGTGAGCTCCACCGACGGCCACAGCGGTTGCGTTCGCATGCGCCCACCGCAGCCAATTTGGCACACCCATTAGACGCTCCGTGGCCCCTTATTGGGAACTTCACCGACGGTCCAAATTGCTGTGTTCGCATGCGCCCACCTCATCTATTTTGACACACCCCTCACACGCTTCGCGGCACCATATTGAGCTCCGCCGACGGCCTCAGTGGTTGCGTTCGCATGCGCCCACCGCGCCCATTGTGGCACACCCCTCATACGCGTCGTGGCTCCATAGGGAGCTGCACCAGCGGCTCCATTGGCTGCGTTCGCATCCGCCCACCGCACCCAGGACACCCCTTACATTTTTCGCTGCCCCAAAGGGATCTCCTCCGAACGCGGTGCATACAACGACGGTATTCACAGCTGCATATGGTTCGGCCCTTTGCCCCGGCTAATTGATGTGGTTGGGGGTTCCCCCTTTTCCGCTTGCCGACGCTCCAACCCAGCCCCAGACGCACTACCACCCGCTTCAGGACGGCGTCATAGGCTCACCCCAGGGGCGCCCAAAGCACCCAAGAGCCCCAAAGCCGCTCCAACAGACCCCCAGCACAGCCCAACAAGGCACCGAGTCGCTCCCGAGTCGCTGGGAAACCACTCCCACACGCCCGCGGTCGCTTCCTGACGGCCCAACATGCCCCCGAGGCGCTCCACGAAAGCTTCCAGACGGTCCGAAAC